AATGAAGGGAGTCCAGAGCGGGGAGTTCCTAAATTTGGAAGATGTTAGGAAACAGTGATGGGCATGGAATCCTGATTGGAAGGCATAGAGCGCACTGTCACCACAATTCTCCCAAGGAGCCCTTGAGTCAAGGAGAGCTCTTCTGTGGGTTGAACGGGGCACACAAGTGGAAGAGGTGGTGACTTTGTGTAGTCAGTCACTTCCGTAGAGCAGACCACTAAAAGATGCCAATGCTATGGCCTCTTTGTACCCAGGACTTTGCCTATTAAACAAATAGTAGAAAGTGGGAAAGGTAACTCCACTTCAGGGTCTTTGGGGGCAGTAACTCTGGTGACTGAAGAAGAGCAAGGACTCAGCACGAGGTCCAGCTGAGCTGAGGAGAGGCTGAGGTCAGGCGCACTCCGTCCACTCTGCCACCCACATGCAGTCGTTGTACCTCATGACCTCAGAAAATTCACCACCTACAAGGTTTCATTGGTCTTTTTACAGTTCTACTGTAAACAATAGATGGATCCACAGACTACTCTGTCAACAGACTCCTTCTAGCTGAAGGGGGATTGAGAAGGTGCTCAACTCTTCAGAATTGGCAAGGGCAGCATGAGTACTCGCCAAAGCTCAGAAATGACCAAAAAAGGCCTGAGTTCAGAACTGAAACTGGAATATGCTATAAACTACAGCTGTTAATTCAGGAAACTGTGAGGCTTGGGCTGATCAGTTAAACAGGAAGTAGCTGTGTGTGTGAGCTTTGTATTTGGCATTCTTCTATTGACCAACACCTACGATCACCTTTCCTCTGAGGTCAAAACTCTGTGGCTTAGGAAAAAGCAGCATTCATCACACTGAGGTCATGTTTGCAGTGAGCTAACACTTAAGAAGGTGTTCTTAACAAGCTCAGAGCCACCATCTGAGAAATTAAACAGTACAGGAACTAAGTCTTTCTTCCCTCGTTCCTGTATTCTTTCAGTGAATTCCCCTGTATTGCCTCAGCCAATTCATCCCAGGTGTATGCATTTAAATCTGACACTGTTCTGGACACTGACGCTCCAGGAGTGAAAAAATAAAGTCTTGGATTCCTAAGCTCTTCATTCTAAGGTATCTTGCTGTGTTTTGTGTTCCTGTCATTGAACAATATATAATGGATAGTGTATCTTTTTTTGTTTATTGAAATATAGTCTCAACATATATAGGCCTGGCTGGGCTTTAACTCCTTAACCTCCTACCTCAGCCTCCTGAGTACTGGAATTACAGGCACGTGCCTTCATACCTGGCCAGACTGGGTAATTTATAAAGTACGAAAATATGTTTGAGTCATGGTTCTTGAGGTTGGCAAGTCTAAGGTCTGGGTCTTACATATGGTAAGAGCATATGTGTGTGTCTGTCTGCATGTATGCATGTATGCGTGTATGTACATGGGTACGTTTGTGCCATGGCATGTGTGCAGAGGTAGACAACCTTGAGAGTTGGTAGTCACCTTTCACCTTGTTTGAGGCAGGGTCTCTGTTGTTTGTTACTGTATACCCCAACCTAGATAGCCCTTGAACTTCTGAAGAGTCTCCTGTGTCAGCCTTCCATCTAATTGTGCCCAACTTTACATAGGTTTGGGGATCTGAGCTCAAACCCTTATGGTTGCATGGCAACTGGTTTACCTACTGAGCCATCTACCCAGCCTCTAACAAGGGCCCTCTTCCTGCATAGTGACATGGTAGTAGGGCATGACAAAGTAGAAGGGCAGAACCGAGAGAGAGAGAGAGAGAGAGAGAGAGAGAGAGAGAGAGAGAGAAATAGGGCCATGCTGGCTCTCCTGATAATTAACCCACTCTTGAGATAAGAGCATTAATGAAGCATGGCAGCAAAGCCCTCATGACCTCATCACCTCTTATTGGGGCCCACCTGCCATCACTGGTATGCGGGATGGAATTTTAACACATAGACTCTGGGGGACCAGAGGGAGAGGGCCAGGAGAGTATCCTAAAAGAAGGTAGAGGGAGGTTACCCTTGTACTCAGTGTCTATTATAACAGATTTGCCTGTAGTCTATAAGGTAGGAGGCTACTGGGGGTGGAGAAGAAGGGAGGAGTGAGGGCTGGGTAAAAAGGGAGCAGAGAGAAACAAGAAAAACAAATTTTGTTTGGTAAATGCCATAATGAACCTTAGCTCTTTGTAAGCTAATAATTGTTTTAAAAGCAGCAGAATGCACCCTTCAAAAAATGCCAGATGGGGTGCTGGAGAGATGGCTTAGTGGTTAAGAGCAGAGAACTTGGGTTCAATTCCCAGCACTCACATGGTGGCTAGCAACCATCCGTAACTCCAGTTCCAGGGGATCTGACACCCTCTCTGACCTCTGCAGGCATTGCACAACATTGGTGCACTTACATACATGCAGGCAATATGCTCATACACACAAAATAAAAATAATAAATAAAATATTCTTGCCAGATGGACATGAATGT